CCCCATAGCTCTGTGAGCACCCTACGGGGACCCCACAGCCCCGTGGGCACCCCATAGCTCTGCGAGCACCCTACGGGGACCCCACAGCCCCCTGGGCACCCTGTGAGCGTCCTGTGGCACCCCGTGGGGACCCCATGGGGGCCTCGTGAGCATCCTATAGGGACCCCACGGACACCCCACAGCCCTGTGGGCATCCCATGGGGACCCCATAGACCCACGGGCACCCCGTAGCCCTATAGGGACCCCATGGGCACCCCACAGCCCTATGGACACCCCATTAGACACCGCACAGCCCTATGGACACCCCATGGACACCCCACTGCTCTGTCCCACAGCCCCGGGGGCACCCCATGAGCACCCCATAGCCCTACAGGCACTGGATGGGCACCCTATAGCTCTATGGGCACCCCCTGGACACCCCCCGGGACAGAAACCCCCAACAACACAACTGGGTTTTTTTTGGTTTTTTTTTAATATGTCATCAACTTTACAGGGTTACAATTGTCTTAAATATTCTGAAGTTTAAATACAATCTGTATAATAATGTTATTATAAAATGTAAACTTTCAGTGTTTTTATTTTATTTTATTTTTTTTTAATAATCAAAAGTTTCAATACCTGAATGTTTGCAAAACTGAAATATTTCACCGGGGCCCGGGTGCGCCCGAGGCCGCCGCTCTCAGAGGTAGAATGTGGTTTTTATTCTTTTTCTTTTTTTTGTCTTTTGTGGTTTTTTTTCTTTTTCATTTTTTACCTGAGTTAAGATATGCACGCTGGGTAAATGCGTTTGCAGCTGTGTCCGTTCCTTTTTTCTTTCCAAACCCCAGAGAAACTGATTTAGGCTTTTTTTTTTTTTTTTTTGTTAAATCGATATGCAAAAAGAAAAATAAAGTGGAAGGTAATATGCTCTCCAAAAAAAAAAAAAAACGGGGGAGGGAGGGAAGAGGAAGGGGGGGGATAAAAATAATTAAAAAAAAAAGCAACCAACCCAAAACAGTGACTGTACAAATGCAAAAACTCACTAAGAAAATCTAACGCCCAACTTGGTCCCGAGAATCGCCCCCCCCCGCCCCCCCGGGATTTCTCCTTGTGGGGAGCTGGGCTGGATCCTGACAGCAGCGGGAGCCGGACGGAGCCCCCCTGGACCCCCCCCAAGGGATGGGGTCCACGGAGCCACCAAGGGGCATTTCCAGCTCTG